TTGTTAAGGAAACAAAAATATCAAAAGTATCAAAGCCAAGCCTATTAGAGTCTAGCTTTTAAATCAGCAGAGCAGCAGAAACAGTGTCCTTGTCTAACTGCTTCTCTAGGAATGGAGGCTGACTCAAAGACAACACAAATAGCTTGTAACAAAACTTTAAAAACAAAAGTTTACTAATGGTTTCAGTCTACATATGCATAGAGGCTACATCCTAACTAGTTAACGATTAGTTCAGGTAAAAGAAGAAATCTTTATCTCCCCATCTTTCCGAAGAAAGCTGATAGAGCAGGGAGATGGGAGACTGGAGAGAGGCAGGAGAACATCGCTTTGTTTAATTTAGAGAAACTTCCTAAAGGAAGTGAGCTGAATCACATCATTTGTTTTACCAATTTAGAAAGGTATTTATTGCCCCTGTGATTCAGCAAGAACCAAATTGTATGTTTAGAAGAGGGGACCACAGAGTTTGCATGCAGGGAAGATCCTGTGTATCTTAGGACGAGGAGAGAGAATGCAAAGAGCTTCCAACAAGACTATGTTCCTATTTTTATAAAGTAAACCTGTAAGGGAGATGGAAGACAATGTCTACTTTCCAGATCGAAAAGTGCATACTATGGGTAGCAAAAGGAAGTCTTACCATTTGTTCTGTAAGCCCTTATCAGTAATGCTAGTGTACGAGAGAGTGAAAGTGACAAGTGAGCGAATAGAGGTATGACTTGCTCTTGTTCAGTGGAAATTAGTAGGCAGAGCACCTAGAAAGAGCAATAACGAAAGCAGCTGTAGAAGATTCCCTGTTGTCTCTTCTAGAGGAGGCAGTGAGTCAGTAGTAGCTGTGTTAGCATGCTTCTTGATCAGCGTGTTCTAACTTTGCCTGTCGGGCTCCAGTAAATGTTATAGGATAAAAGGACTCTCTAGATACAAAGGACAAACTTTGAATCATTGTCCTTAAGCGTTATTTCTTCACATGAAATTTGGATTACCACCACGCTCTGCTGTTGTTGTGTGCCTTCAAGTCATTTTCTACTTATGGAGACTCTAAAATGAACCTCTTCCAGAGTTTTCTTGGCAAGATTTATTCGGACAGTTTATTTATTTATTTATATTTATTCATTTATCTGCTGCCTTTGTCCCTGAAGGAACCCAAGGCAGCTCACATTTTTTTTTAAAAAAAAATTACCATACAATAAAATATAAAACAGTTAAAATCATCTAAAAACAATATAAAATTACAAATTTATTTATTTATTTACTTTATATTCATTTATAAGAGTTCTGCTTTTGCTTTTGTCTGAGGCAGAGAGAGTATGACTTGGAAAACCCAAAGTCACCCAGTGGGTTTCCATGGTTGAGCAAGGATTCAAACCTTGGTCTCCAAAATTATAGTCCAGTGCTCTTCCCACTGCACCACCCTGGCTCTATACCAGGGTTAGGCAACCTTTCCCCTTTAAGGGCCGAGGGACTTCAGCTCCCAGAAGCCTCAGCCATGTTGGCCAATAGTCCCATGTTGGCCAATAGCTCCTGGGATTCTGGGAACTGAAGTCCCTCGACCCTTAAAGGGGAAAGGTTGCCTACCCCTGCTCTATACCGTCATCTTCAATCCTTGATCTTGAACCCTGATAAACATTGCTCTCAGGCTGCTTTGATCTTCATCTTTTGAAGGTCAGTATGAGTTTTGTGTTCTTTCATGTATGTTTTTACAAATCAGTAAAAGCACAAAACACCACCACCAGCAGCAACATCACTAAAGTTAACAATGTACCTAGCATGGTACATGTACATGATACTACATACAAAATAACGGCTGGGGTTCGGTATTGCAGTTACAGATTCATAACTCAGTATTACAGATTCGTAACTGCACTGTAATATGTAGTCACAATTGTGGCACTATTGGCACAACAGTAAATGCCTCCATCAGCTCACTTTAAGAACCAACAGATGCACTGAGCAAAGGTGCAAGGAGGAGGATGTTTCTTGCCCCTTCCCTCCAGCAGGTGAGATTGGAACAATCAGAGCAGGACTCCTGTCACAATTCCTCATTGTGAACTCACTTGTGCTAGGTGTGTGTGTGCAAATGTCGTCCTCCTTGTGCCCCAATTGGCAGCTGAACAATTCTCCTTCGCCCAGCTGGGCTTCAGATGTTGGGCCAGACACATTACTGAGGAGCCATTCAGACGTTGTGTTTTAAGTGCAACTATGCAAATACAGTTGGACCTTCAAATCTGCAGGGGATCCATTCCAGACCCACTCCACAGATACAAAAAAAACATAGAACCTCAAGTCCCATTGTCCCTAATGATGGCGTGTCATGTGTGTGGCCATTTGGGACAACAGGACTTGCCATCTGCGGATGCTCACATCTGTGGATGGCAAGCCCTCAGATAGCAAGGTTTGACTGTAATCTCACTCATGCATTCTGTTTTTGCTGTTCACACTACTTTTTAAAAAAAATCAGGACCTCATCTCTGCACAGTTCTGCATGTTCTGTTGCTCACATGTGTCAGCACTGTGAATAAAGATGGATTCAATGATGTGGATGTATTCAAAACACGTTCAAGGCATGCCGAGTTATATCCTGATTTATCCCGGATCTATTCACATTGGTTATTCACATAGCCAATAAATTCGGGGAAAAAAACCTGAGATCAATTATCCTGGGTTAAGGGTTTTTTTTGTGGTAGCCCCCCCCCAATCTTAATCAGATACATTAAAAATGCATCTGAATAACAAAGATTCAAACCAGATTTCACCAGGATTATTTTAACTGTCTGTATAAACACATTCATAACTAAGTAGCTGATGCAGAATATCAGCAAAGAGATGAAATATTTTAAATTTTAGTACATCAAGGAAAGGCGAAACTATATAACATCCTATTAAGTGAATGCACAGATAGTTGTAAACTAGAACTCTTCTGTTTGTTTGTTTTTTTTTTAGTTACAGAGGACTCAACTACATAGGAGTCTTGGTTTTCCTAATCATTGGTGCCTAAAAATTTCAGGGAGACTCAGCCCCCCAGCCTAGCACTCCTGCTAGCATTGTATGAACTGTATGAACTATTTTAGGGTCCATCTGCAGTTCTCTTCTCTCAGCTGCAGATCTCCAGCCAGATGCTGCCCAGCTGTACTTTGCAGTTAAAAAAGAGTCGATAGGGTTTCAGTTCACATGCAATTTGCCCCTAAAGAGGAATGTTACAGTTGTCCCAGTGGGATGCTTGTTTTAAACAAATAGCTTTTTCAAACAGGCAAGCCATGTGCTGACCAAATGGATTTGCCCTAATTGTGTGCATTGCAATGGGGAGAAAGAATAAGCAATTCTCAATGGGAAAACAAGGTTGAATAGTGATCAACATCTGCAGCTGCATCTAAACAAAATGCCACATCAAAATCTGCTGAGAAAAATGCAAATTGTTCCTTTCTTTATTCAGCCTCCTGAACAAGTTTACACAAGGCAAGCACATCACCCTCAAGAGAGGCTATTGATTTTGCATGCATTGGAATACCAGAAAATCCATGTGCTATTTGTCTCCTGCAATAGTTTACAAAGGTATAGTGTCTGGCAAGTATGTTTATACAAAACCAAACCTCAGCTATTTTTCATCAAAAGTAAACCTAACCGGCTGTCTCTTGGCACAAAGCCACTACTCTCCAGGAAGTGCTTTGAAGAGTTTACATATCAAGGTAGCAACTTTTTCGCTTGGTTATAGCTTGTGAAACACTTATTCTGAAGGATGCAATTGATGTAAACGGAATTCAGGCACTCAAAAAAGTCACTTTTCTTCCCCTACAGCTCAAGCATCTCTCAGCCAGCAGGATGTCATGCTAGTTGGAGGTGTAGTTAACAAAATAAAACAAAACTTTCACAAGCTCTACTCAATTCTTGCAGCAGATAAAGTTCTGTAGGGTTATGAACGAGATTCTTTCCTATCCTTATTAGCTGCTTTCCCCTCTTATACACTCCTTTCCTTTCATTGTAGGAAGAAAGGATCATGTGGTGGGGAAGCCTCTGGGAGTAATTATCCCAGTATCTTACAAAATCTCTGGCTGAGCTGCTCAGATGTTAAACAAAGTGGGCACAATAGCCCTGGAAAAGGAAAGAAGTCAATGGTCTTGGAGAAGATCAGATGTGACCTTGGTTGGGAGAAGAGATATTCCTGCCCTCAGAGAACTAGATACTGAGAAGGATTTGTTTTCACTGTGGCAGATTTGATTTTTATACACAGGACAGAAATTGTTGTTAATTAATAGGAGATGAAGAGATGTTCCTGAGCTGTTGGGATCCCCCTCCTGCTTTTGTATGAGCTGGATGGTACCTCCCAGAGATCATCTATCTTAGCTGCCACCACTCATTGATTTGAATCCCCCCTTCAAAAAATTGCAAAGGGACATTGCTGGAGTTTCACTTGCACTTTCCATCTCTGATTCTGCAGAGACTTACTTTCCCGACTCCTGCAGGAAAATTGCAACCAAGCAAAAGGAGGTGAAAGGAGTGTAGAAAAGACGAAGCACTTTCAATGGAAGCCTTTACTATAAGCAAGACATCGACATAAGCAAAAGGTATAACAGCAAAAGGGCTCCTTCACCCCTCAGACATACTTAGAAAAGTTACAAGTTACAGAAAAGTCTAGACCAGGGGTTCCCAACCTGTGCTCCAAGGAGGTGCTCTGTGGCCACTCCAGGAAAATAAAAGAAATAAAAATTGAATGAAATTAAAGAATAAGAATATATATTTATATATACTCCTAAACACCATTATCTTCTAAGACATAGGGTGCCTCTTAGAGGCTCTGCCATAGAAATAAGGGCTCCACAAGTCAAAAAAGTTGAGAACTCCTGGTCTAGACCGATTCAGCCAAGGTCAAAATATAAGTAAGTCCTGACATGACTAGGTTAATATTCCCTATCTGCTCACAGGCCAATGGGGATTCTGGGCTGAGATGTTCCTGTGGTGGATGGCCAGCAGGTTTAGCTCACCTGGTCTTGGCTGACCAGCTCACCTGGGTGTAACAAGGACCACACCACAAGTCTCTCTTGGTTCTCCCCCACACTTTGTGTCCCCCAACCTTGAGATATTTATCACATTCCCTGGAAGGTCTTCTCTCAGGCTGGTCATCTCATTGAGCAGTTGTCTCTGTGATTCCTTGTGACACTGGCCCTCAATAAATGCAACTTAACACTATCACCTTATTAACCCTTTGTCACCTGGAGGGAGTCTATTCCTTCAACCATGGTGTCTAGATAATGGGAAGGGCACATTATCACAGCTGTACGGTTCAAACTACAAACAACCCTCCCAAGAGATCCTGCCTCAGTAGACATGGCTATGATTATGACGCAGCTCCACTGTTGTAGCTATTTCTGCTGATGCTACTCTCCAGAAACCTACCTCTTAAGCTTGACAGTGCCTCAATTTAAGGGTTCAAGGGACTGTCGACTGGGGCACAAGTGGGAAATGAAAACTTTGGGCCTCTCCTAGTTGTTGAGAACAGGCAGCTGGAGACTCCTTGGGATTCTGCTGCAGGTATTTGTCTCAATGCACCCCATGTCCAGGAGAGCATGGTAGTTGTCATTTCCTGATCTGCAGTGCTGCAGAAATCCTTCATTTGGGGCATTGCCTGGCTTAAGTGAAGGAAGCAGACAGAAGGAAAATCAACTAATTTGAGATGTGGTACTGGAGAAGAGTGCTGCGGGTACCACAGAGAGCTCAAAAGACAGACAAATGGATCCTAGAACAGATCAAGCCTGGAAGCTGAGATGACGAAACTGAGGCTATTGTATTTTGGCTGCATCAGGACAATGAGTCACATCATGATTCATTAGAAAAGATAATAATGCTAGAGAAGGTAGCAGAAAAAAGAGGAAGACCACACACCAGATGGCTAGATTCAATTAGGGAGTTCACAGGCCTGAATCTGTTTAGCAGAGGAGTGGAGAATAGGGGCTTGGAGGTGTCTCATCCACAGGGTCGCCATGAATTTTGACTGGCTTGAAGGCAGTTAACAACAACAACTGGCTTATGAGATTAATAATAATAATAATAATAATAATAATAATAATAATAATAATAATAATAATAATAATAATAATAATAATAAATTTTATTTATAGCCCACCTGTCCCTGCAGATCGAGGTAGGTTACAACAAATAAGAATAACAATAAAATACAATATACAATTAAAAACCATATCTCTAAATAATCCCCTATGCCAACCCCCTCCCAATCATAAAAAAGAAGCAAACAATAACAATATAAAATGAATAGCAATATAAAATACTAATTAAAAGTGGAAGAAGATAAGTTTTTGAGGTCATGTTCAATTATTAATGACGATAAACATGAATCTCAAAGTTATGAGATAGTAAGTCTGGCTTATGATCTTGTAAATATTGATCAGCATGCCAGCCAATTAAATA